TTTGGAAAGCACAAATCAGGGTTTTAGTCAGTTTTCTGTTTTTCTAGCTCCCACTGCCCACCTCAAGTGTGGATGTGACAATGGCCGGATGAAAACTCAACCCAATTACCTTGTAGCTCTCATGTGCATCTAACTTCCTGATGCCTACATGCTCCCCTCCTTTGATTCCTGTCCCATACGCTCCTGAAGCCCTCTTCTTACCATGTCCCCATTGGCCTGTTGCAGGCTCCAGCAGGTGCTCCTGAAGTGTCCTATGTCTCAAGCTTATGAAGTAAGACCCTCCTTTGAACTCCTGACTGAATTCTGTTAACTTCCTCCTGTGGCTAGGGGAAAGGTAAGGGGCTTGAACACTATGGGAGGCTTGCATTCAGTTTCACCAACCCAAAGGGTTCAAATACCATGAGTGAAGGCCTCTTCCCCAAAATTATGATTTAAAATAGATACAATCGGTGTCCTTTTTAATTTGACTTTTGATTTATTGTGAATTTAAGGGAATATTTCAATCACATTTTCAAACTCTTCCCTATAACTTATAACAGCAAGAAACTTACTTTTTATAAACTACTGCTGAGTTTGTCATCTAATTAAAGGTCTCCAAGAACCTGGTCTTTAAGACAAAGAAATACCACAAAACTTGCAATAAAATCATGAGTCAGCAAGTCTGCGGTGGTTCTGCGTGCAGCAACTAGGTCTACTACTTAGAGCAGAAGTAGCAAATGGCCATGAATATTCAAAAGAAAAAGCTGCAGGCAACTTAAGTAAATTTCTTGAGCTGTTTGACTGCATACACCATCATGAGTAACCCTAAAAATAAGAGAAAAAGCAACATTTACAATAAATACCAAGTATTGGCATTGTACTTGAGATTCACATGATTTGACTATTCAGACTTAGATGCTTGTCACTTCCAAATCAAAGGAAGTGACTCGGAAATTTCTGTGTATTCAGTGCTCATAAGGACTCACCTGGAGTACTGTGCCAATTTTGGGCCTTACACTTCAAGAAGGATCTGGACAGTTTGGGAAAAGTCCAGCAAAGAACAACAAAATGATCAAAGGCCTGGGACAATGAGTTATGAAGAAAGACTGAAAGAGCTAGAGTTGAGTCTGGAGAAGAGAAGACTGAGCGGGGATTTACAGAGAAGATGGGGATGTAATTGCCCTTCAAACGCCTGAATGGCAATTACAGAAAAGATGGGGATGGACTGCAGTGGACAGGACTAGAAGCAATGACCTCAAACTGCAGCAGAGAAAATGCAGGTTGGAAATTAGGAAGAACTTTCTCACTATGAGGGTGGTCAACATTGGAAAAAACTACCTAGGGAAGTATCTCCAGGGAATTTCCATCCCTGGAAATTTTCAAGAGCAGTTTGGACAGACATTTGGCTAGAATCGTTTAGCCAGGAACGATCCTGCCTTGAGCAGGGGGCTGGACTAGATGACCTTGTGAAACCCTACTTTCCCAAAACCCTATGAATTCTACACCAAAAAATCCACCTGCTTTGCCAGACATGGTATATACGGGTCAGGTGGAATAGAAAACAGTGACAAGTACTAGGGCTGTGTGAAGCTTCAGTTGCTGATTCAATTCGGCAGAGATTCAGCAGCCAAATCTAATAATCCAAGTTGAATCAGGAGACCATTTAATCCCTCTGAATCAAATTGGAACCCTCTGAATCGATCTGCAGAAATTCAACGATTTGGACAGACACAGCTTTAAATGTTTTTTCTACATATCTCAAAGATGGAGCGTCCCACAGGAGGGTGGGGTGGGGGGTTCCCAGCATGCTTGGCAGCAGACCCAAAAATGGACCAGAAGCACTTTCGGTCCACTGCAGAGCACGTGGGGGACCCCTGGGAGGGGGCCCAGCATGCTCATCAGTGGACCCTGAAGTGGACTGGAAGTACTTCCGGTCCACTGAGCACATGGGATGGGCCCCCCCACGTGTTCCTATGGGATGCTCCATCCACCCCACCATCTCAGCAGTCACGAGCTGCACCTGGTACCTTGAGGTATGTAGAAAAAATGTTTAAAACTGTGTCTACGGCCCAATTGCTAATTCTGCGAATCAGCATTGAATCTTCAGATGCTGATTCAGATGAATCAAAAATCGGGACAGTGATCCGAATCAACAAACTGAATAACTGTCCCCCAATTTGGGCTGAAATGGGGAAAGTAAAACTAGCTTTTACTTCCTCACCAAGTAGCTACTGGGAAGAAAGAAAGAGGAGAGGAAGTGTGTGTTTTAGACTGACCTCATATAATCTAATCCCAGCTACCAAAAAAAGGAATCCCTTCATACTACCATCTAAAAAAAGCAAACCGGCAACCTGGATAAGAAATCTACTTTGATTTAGTAAATCTGTTTTGGTTTAGTAAATTTTCCCATGGTTTGTTTTTCATCATGCTGCTGACAATTGTAAACAGGGAAAACAAAGGCAAGTATACAACAAATGCCACAGTACAACTGCAAAGTTTACACTTTTGGGCTATGTATAATTTATATACAAAAACTCCTATAGAATATTAACGCTGAAAAGACATGCACTCAGAAGCTAGAAGATTCCCATAGTTAATGCCGCTGTGTAATGAACTTGGATCATTTATAAAATAATATAATGGAATCCTGATCCTTAAATAAATGACAGAGAACTTACTAATGATAGCTAACAAAAACCCAACACTAGTTATTTCTGATCTCCCCCCCCACTCCATAAGATATGCAGTTAGGTGTTATAATATGGGTTAGGTGCAGTATTGATTATGCTGAAAATTTAGGAGGTGGGAAGGGAGAAAAGATACACTGGAAGGTAGTTGCTGAGCTAAAACTTTTAAAAAATTTGGCCTTCATAAATATTTCCAAATTCAATTTCTATATGCAAATTTGCTAATGCATTTGCTTTCATATACTAGACGGAAGGAAGCAATTGCACATGTTTAACTTGACAATACTTTTATTTAATATATGTAATAATGCAGTACTCCTTAAAAAGTTTCATGTCAGTCCCTACAAATAACCAAAAGGCATAAAGGCATGTTTACACAGACAACGAGCTACACATAGTCTCTTACCTGATTGGGTCTTACTGGGATGATGCTGTCCACCTGCTCCTTGCTGAGGAGGAGGACTTGCCCCTGCTTGTCCAGTACCTTGTACTGGGCTTGCGCTGGTCAGGGTCCCAGTAGGCAGTGGCTGACCTCTCTTTAAGAGCTGCTTCTGTTCTTGCTGGCGGAAGCGTGGAGGCACCTCACGAGGCAGGTAACGGGATGCAGCTGGCTGCTGCCCATTAGCAGATGCACGCTTGCCATTGCTGCTGTTGGTAATAGTGCTGGTGGAAGTACTGGTACCGGTACCGGCAGGTTGGGGCTGGCTTAAACTGGTCTTAATAGATTCTGGCACTGTATAAAATAAACATACATTTATTTAATCCAGGGGAGAAATAAGAATGAACTGCTTTTAAAGGCAAGAATTAAAAAAACAACATTAAGTGTATAACCTGCCTTTCAGATACACCACAAAGCAAAACAAAATGAATAAAGGAACTTCTAAGGCAGTAAAGTAGCAAACACATTCATTTTAGGAAGAAAAAGTTTATCAAATTTCTGCTGAGTGATAGTGCTGTATAAAATAAACAATGTGATTCTTCATATCCCAACATTGTGGAAAATAGCACAACTTCAACAGAAAGAATAAATGGGGTAGAACTAAATTTACTTCACAAGATACTTTGAGACATATTTAACTATAACTCCCACATTACAGCTTAAAAACAAAATTCTGCTTGAATGCAACTCATGCACTAAAAATCACACTAAAAATCACTAATTTTATCTATCTGTCTATACAACAGTGCACAATCTACAATATTTTTCTGAGCAGAAACAACAGTAGTAGCCCTGAAGTATAGTAGCTCAAAAAGCATTTAAATCATAGAATCATAGAGAAGAATCATTCCTATCCAAACCATTCTATATAAATCCACTATTTAACCCATTAGCAAAACTACACACTCAACCCTGACACACCCATAGTTTCACAGTAGTTAGGGTTCAGAAGGGACCTGAATAGATCTAGTCTCACCCCCCCGCCACTGGTTGGAGCACACGACCCCAGACAGGTGTTCATCCAACCTCTTTTTGAGCTTACCCAAGGAGCGAGGACGACTTCCCTAGGAAGTTGGTTCTAGATCCTAGCTACCCTGACAGTGAAATAGTGCCTCCTAATCTCTAACCTGAACCTATTCTCTAGCAGCTTGTGGCCATTGTACCTCATCACCCCGGGTGCTGCTGGGGGGAATAGGGCTCTTCCTATTTGCTGCTGATCTCCCCTAACAAGTTTGTAGGCAGCCACCAAATCCCCCCTCAGCCTCCGCTTGCTGAGGCTGAACAGGTTCAGGTCCCTCAGCCTCTCCTCATAGGGCCTGCCCTTTTGCCCTCCAACCAAGCGGATGGCCCTCCTCTGAACCCTCTCAAGGCAGGCCACATTCTTCTTAAAGTGTAGTGCCCAGAACTGGACGCAGTACTCCAGTTGAGGCCGGACCAATGTCGCGTAAGGGGGAAGTATCACCTCTCTGGACCAGCTTGAAATGCATCTTTGGATGCGCGACAAGGTGCGACTGGCTTTGCTGGCTACGCTCTGGCATTGGCAGCTCATGTTCACCTTGGAGTCGATAATGACTCCAAGATCCCTTTCCACCTCTGTGCTCACAATCCCCAACTTGTATGTATGCTGTGGATTCCTTCTCCCTAGGTCCAGCACCCTGCATTTATCTACATTGAACCCCATCCTATTACAATCTGCCCACTTCTGTTGTCCGTCTAAATCCAATTGCAGCCTCTCTCTTCCTTCGAGCGTGCCTACCTCTCCCCACATCTTGGTGTCATCGGCAAACTTGGACCACGTGTTTTCCGCCCCCTCGTCCAAGTTGCTGATGAAGATGTTGAATAGTGTAGGCCCCAGGACCAAGCCCAGATACAACATCCTAACCTGCCACAGGTAAAGCAGGACCATGACAGCCAACATCCTGCTGCTGCATTGGTTACTTAAAAAATCTTGAGAGAGACAAGTAGGAGGACCACACCTCTTTTTACTTGCATTTGTGGCATCCCAATGGGATTTTCTCTGTGACCCAACCTTATTCATTAATTTTATCTAATTTATTCTTTCTCCATGAAACACTCACCCAATCACACAAAAGGCAGCTGTGCCTCATGAAACAGAAGTAGACAACCATTATTTTCAATACCTATTCTTTATGGTGTGGACTTTTGGTTGTGCTTTTCAGGTGGTTTGTCTTCCACCCCACAATGCTATCCAGAAACCAAGTTCTAACACCCTCTCTCTGCAATATGAAGCTGGTATCCAGTTCCAGTGGCTCATGCCCCCAGGGGTCCAGTCCTTGCTTGCTGTGCTGTTAGACTTGCAGAAAGCTACTTAATAGTGATGCAATGATTCCCATATGGACTAGGGAATACTGGTGTGAGAAAGCTTTACATTGGTGTGCCTGGGTCCACATTAGATGTACTGGCATGTCTTTGAGGTGGTTAGCTATGTTAGTCTCCAAGGTGTCCCTCATCTTCTGCCTGACTTTAGACTAACTAGTTGAGAGTGGCCTGAGCTTCCATAGGCAACAACAGCTTTGCCATATAAAACGTCTCTTGAGATCTCACAGGACTGCTATTCTTCCACCACTACTTCCTCAGGACCTAGAAGCTGGTTTTGGTGATCCAGTCTTTGGAAGACGCCAATGAAGAAGACCTCCTCATGGAACCACTGTTATAACACCCACCCTTAGTGCACATGGGGTGGAAGGCCCATTCTTGCAAGGGTTTGGCTTATGGGGTCACCCATGCATCCCCATAATATTCTCTTACCACAAGTGAGTTCTGTTGGAGCATGCCCCCCTACCCACTTCTAACCTTTGTCATTAGGTCCTGGTCCCAGTAGTACCCCACACAGCCCCCCACCTTCCCCTTTCAGTATCTAGGCAGTTGGCTTCCTGTAAACATACATATGTACTCAGACTCAACACTATCCACTTCCTTACTCTCATATCTTACTCCAACACCAAGCACTAGGACTGTCTGCCACTTGTGGATGATGAGGACTCTGGTTAAACAGTCTTTACTTCAACCTGGTCCCACCAGTTATACACTGGAGGCCCCTGCATGGTGCCATGAGGACAGACTTCTTATTGGCATAACTTTCAGAATCTCCCAATGTTTGACCATCCTGTGGAGAAAGAGAGATGCTGGTACACCCCTAATAAGAGGAAGTCAGGCTGAGTAGAAGACGGAGTTGGGACGGAAGCCCAAGTTTCAGCTTCTCCAGAACCACATGCTGGGGTTCTGGCTGCCCTTCGCCTTCACAAGCTCATTTTTGCATACCCCACATGAGGCCCCACAAAGTTGCAAGACCTCCTCATTAACCCTCTTCCTTCACACTCCCTGAATCCAGTAATGACCTAGTGTGTATGTGGTGGCAGGGAGGTTCATCAACAGCACAGGAGGAAGACGCTTTCTGATCTTAGTTCTAGTCTCCAATCCTGGCACTGCTTGCAACAGCTCAAAGTTGGAATTGGAAGGAAAGACCAGTTTGACTGTTTCAGCTTCCAGTTAGAACATGCCCGCTACAAACAATCTGCCAGAAGTTTGGTGTGAAGCTCTACCACAAAAGACATCCATCCTCTCCAGAGATTCCAGATGGGCGATAAATTATAAAGGGAAGTATAATAAAACTAAAATCAGATGAAACAAGGGAAAATACTTTGTAGGGAGAAATTCTGTACTAGCAGAGAGGTTCTTTAAACAACAACAAAAATATATTTTCCATAAATAATTGCTATGGTTCTATGATTTTTCAACAGTCTACTAGTAAGAGCTTTAGGAAAGTTTGCATGGAGCAGGTTTTACATATTTGCACGACCACTTTGTTTTTATTGGTTTCAAGAGGTAAGGGGGAAAAGGAAGAGACAGATGCTGTATTTGTAAGAGAGAAAGAAAAAGGAAAAGGATTGGGTAAAAATAGAAGACAAAAAAAGTGGCAAAAGGAGAGAAGCAGAAGGTTCTCAAACAGAGGTTTTCTTCCACCATTACAGACTGTTGGTGAGCTATTCTTTGTGCTATTGCTAGTTGACAGATGACACCATAAGACCATCACACTCCCCCTGCCCAACTCCCTCTTCTAACCAGAAGTTAAATTCTGTGCTAAACTATCATTATATTAACTGCATATCCCAAATGTAGATTAATAAGAGTTGTTGCCTCCTCTTTTTTAATGAGGGGTTGGCAGATGAGGAAGGAAAAGAGAGAAGAACCGATTCCCTCACTTCCCCAGTTCTATTTTAAAACACCCTCCACAACCCAAGGAAACAGATTTATTACAGCCCAAGAAGAAAAACCGTATTGCAGACTAGTGCTCAACCAGGACCAACACATCAGCAGTTGTTGGTGAAACTGAATCTTTGTGATGTCACTGCTGCTGTAGAAACCAAGAGTCAAAACAGTGACCATGAAATCTGGCAGTAGAAGAGCAGGGGAAGTTGAGAGAGGAGGCAACATCAAGTCTGGCAGGGTCAGAGCAGCTCAACTGACAGAAGAACACTTTACGGTCCTGTGTACAGCTCCATCGTCAATCTGCAAAGATGTCTCAGGAAGTTGACTGGTTACGCAACCAGGCAGGCATGTGTAAAGTAGACCTCTACAAACCTGAAGGACCAGGACCAGGACCAGGACCACAAAGTGACCTCTTTTGTTGATGTCTCCAGCCTGAATGTAAAAGACAAAGATCCAAAAGCAAAGAAAGATGCAAGTCAACATCTCTGAACATTCAAATAAACTTGATCTAGCAAATAAGAAGGAAAAGGAGGTCATTGTAATAAAAGACAATGAGAAACAAGATCATTCTAAGACTGAAGTTTACTCTGGGTTCGCTCAACAGTGACCTTCAGATATATCCAGTTAGATTCCAGCACACATTGTCTCCTTCAGATAATCCACTGAAATGCACACAAGACCCACTTCCTTAAAGCCCTTGCAGGAGAAGATAAGCCCTAGCAGCAATCCAGGTCTCAAAGTCTAGCGTTTATATCACTTCAAAGTAAATGTCCTGGGACCCCAAACTCTCAAGCCATGAGAGCTTACAGGAATAAATTCAAACGCTCCTTTTCCCTTGTCTTTTCCAGAGCCATGCATTTCACTTTTCATTGCTGTAAACTTCATGGCTTGCGATTCTGGGTCCTGGAACCTTGTTTTAAGTGCTGTTTGCTGTGAAGCTCTATCACAGACTTCCAGATTTGACTTATCCATTGAGCAGTGCTTTTCTGAGGTTTGAATTAAGACGATTGAGATTTGCTGCCTTCTTTTTCCTTCAAGAAAACTTTCAGAAAAGCTGTCATTTATGCATGTAAATGACAAGGATCTGAAGAAGCTTCCTCTGCTAGATGGAAAACCGGTGAAAAAGGGCTACAGCACGGGGGATATTCTCCAGGAAGTAATGAGGTGCTTTGAAAGGCAACAGATTGATGCCGCTGTGAAAACCATAACTTGTTGTGGACTGATGGACTGGATGCTTAATAACCTCCAAGGAAGCACCAACTCTTCCTCCCTCTAAAGTCACTTTGACCCAGCCAAAATGCCCAAACTAGTTCTCTGCTGGAGCAAGCAGCGAACACATTTGCAAGTGACAGCACTGTACTGAATTCAATAGGCTGTAGTACACAAGATGGGCAAGGTCATGGATAAAAAAAATTTTTAAAGAAAGGACTAATTTATTAAGCATTTCAGCAGGGGTTAAAAAACAAACAAACCAGGCAATCACTGGTTAGAGAAATAAGCCTGTTACCAAGGATATATGAAAGTTTGAGTTGCAGCATGGAAGGATAAGCAAGTGGAAGGCATAAGCCAGGGATGATTGAAAGCCTTCCTAGGAAAGTACCGGCATTGTGTTTGATAGGATACTGTCCTTGAACAGTGTTATACGAATCCATAATCTAAATTTTACTTAAGACTACCATCAACACACAACTCAAGTGCTCCCAAGGGCTGCAGGGATCTGGAGCATATAGAGGAAAGGATGTTCCCAGGGGCTGTGGGTGTCTGCTTTTTTTAAGTGAAGAAATCACCCCTGGTTTCCAGTCCTTTGCATGTAAAACAAGCTCTGTACACTTAGCTCTCCTCAAGCCCCCATGTCATTCGGCACTCAGAGCTGTCACAGTGTCCTGCTGCTGACATGTGGGGGTAGAGATGGGTTCCTCCCTAATCCCTTGTTTAGGTTGTAGGCTGCCTTGCCCAAGCTGAGGTTATGATGCTGTGTCAGGAGGGATGCTATGTCTGAGGGTGTTTTTGAACATGGAGCCAGGCTTGTTTGAACTTCTCATATGTCCTGTCTATGTCGGTATCTTTATTCTAAACACCAGTGTACTGGCAGGGCAGTGCCAAGGTGCCAGTTCATAAAAGGTCTTGCCCTGAGTAAGTCATCCTGGTAACTTGCACTGGTGCTGGCTGTCTTTTCCAGATGCACGTCTGTGCTGGTCCATCCATGTCCAGACAAGACCTGAATCTGTGCCTGTTGCATTAGCGAAACCCTAAAGCAGGCATGTACACTTTCCCCTTCATCGAAGGTCACCTGCCAGGTACACAGCCCAGAGGAAGGCTGTTGCCAGTAGGATCAGCTCTGGTCAGACAAGGTTGCAAAACTGGCTTGCAGGGCATCCCTTAGAGCCATAGATACCAAACATCTGGGCCAGGTCTCTCCAGGGGTAAACTGTTACAGATAGGACCGAGAGAAACTGCCCAGGAATGGATTAACTTGCCTGGCACTAATGGCACTTTCCATCCCTACTGACTGTGCAGAATGGAAGGTGTAGTGGTGTAGCTCTGCCGATTATTTCTAGCATTGCTGGCAACCTCCTTCTACTACAGGGCACTTGCTAGTGGTAGCTAGCAGCGCAGGAGATTTTGCATTTTCATGGGTGCCCTGGGAAGAAAGGGCAGGTTCGGCTGTTGTTGGTATAGCAGCAGGGAAGAATAGGAAAGGAAAAGGAATATGCTGGGTAGTGAGGCCCCTTTAAAAAAAGATGCGTTTGTAGTCTGGCTGGAGCTAGCCATTAAATACATTTTTCATCCATAAGTTTATCTGGTCCCTTTTTTGAACCTGCTATCCTATCTGCCTCTACCACCTGTCGTAATAAATTCTACAAGTTAACTACACACTCCATAAAAAAGTACTTTCTCTTGTTAGTTTTAAACCTCTCACCTACTTGCTTCTTCTGCTGGAGGTGGCTTATCCTCCCACAATGAAAACCCTGTGGAAGTGAAGGCAGGAGTTTTTCTTTTTGTTTAATCAGAAAAATGTTAAACTACAAAACCGTGACTTATCCGAAACTGAACCTAGACGTTTCAAAGCCAGGTCACACTCAGGGTGTCCTCCCAGGTTCTGACATGTTTGGAAACAGTTTGTATATCAAAGGAATTTTGCAAGCTGTTTTAATGACTAAGTGCTGCTTCCACACATAAAAAGAAAGGTGAACGCATTTGAGCCCGATAGAAATCATCAACACTCCACTTTAACCAATAAATCTACTTTTCATGTTGAAGGCTAGATAACTTCACCTATGCATATTGATGCATATTTTTGAACTAAAATTACTAATCTAGGGTATCAAGAAAATATATTAAGAATTCCTAGTAGGTCTCAGTGGAAAGCAAATGTATCTGTTACGTCTTTTCCGAATTCCAATATTCAGCCTTCAAAACAAAACATTACCTATTCTATTTAAAAGCCTCTATGAAATACAGAAAAATGCCATTGAAAATGTGAATAAAATCAGTACATTCAACATTTACAAGAAAATGGTTGTATTTTTACAGCTCCAATACTTATTTTTTTGGTTTTACCAAAGTTCCCACATGATCTAAAAAATTTATCTTGTTTTAATGCATCTTTCTGCTTAACTGTAGATTTTGCCATTCCAGCTAACCTTTAAGTAGTTTACATGAATTAAATTGATTCTTTCACTTGACTACAATCAGTCAGGAAATGAATTTCAGGCAAGCTCTTTACAGAAGTACTGCTATTGGAAAAACATGGCTTCTACTTGTTAACAACAGACTCAGTACAGACAGCTATCAAATGTACTGTGCAGAGAGCATGAAGAAGATCATGCTCCTTCCACCTGCCATTCTGACTTGTGAGCTTTACCTGTACTTGGAACTTATATCAGATGCTGGGCACTGGCTCAAATTTGAAAAAGACCAAAACTGATTAGTTTTCTAGCTTTGCTGGCTTGTAATGTATCAGTGTTCCAACACCATTATTTTAAGTTTTATACAAACTATTCCCTTACAGTACCCTTGTACAGACTCCCTTCAGAAGTCTTCCTATGAAGTAAGCATTTTATACAGATGGAAAGTAGACACAAAGATTTAAGAACTTGATTTTCAGGTGTGGCAGACTGCTTACCAACTCTGAGCTAAGCTGCAGGTGCATAAATGTTTCTGAAAAATCAAGTTCTACATGATTTGCCCAAAGTCGCACAATAATTCATGGACAGAGCAGAGACTAGGGCTCCCAGGCTCCCTCACTAGTCATGAATCTGCAGTAAGGCCCCATCTTTACTGAGGGGAAAACATTTTGTAAAGGAATTACCACTGATAAATCAGGGCAGGGCTGTCCCAGCTTCTGAGAGGCTAGAGACCACACCTGCACAGGCTCTCCCAATACACCAGCTGTACGGATTCCCTGGGCCCTCTTGCTGCACATGCTTTTCTAGCATATGGGCTCCCCAGCCACATGGAAGAGGGGGAGGGAGTCCAGAGATGTCAGCGGCAGCAGTGATGATGGGGAAGTGGTGATTAGGCAGGAGCCTGGGGCCCATAAGTTATCCCGTCCTGGGCCGCATGTCAACCTGCTGACACATGTTAAAAATTAATCGCCGCTTTGCCCATACTGGAATTTTATCACACTTAAAAGAGCCTTTTCTTCTAATGTGGAAGCAGCCTAACAATTTTCTTTGGGGCAAGTTCAACAGCTAGTATAACACCAAAATTGGATGCCCCTTTGGCTCCTTAGATTTCAAAAGGCGGTATATGGGAATACTATTTGAGACGCAGAACTACTCACCATCACAATAATCCACATGAAATGTCTGCTTTAAGTTAAACAACAAAATCTTAACCCATTTCAAACAAACTTTAGTAGTTGCTACCTAATTTCAACATTTGTAACAATGTTTGCCTATGAGCCCACAAATCACAGAAAAAGTATACTGGATAGAAAAAAAGGAAATAGCAGGATCAGCCACACTGTTTTAGAATGAAAACATTTCTAAAAAAAAATAGGATGCTTAATATTTTAACATTAGCATAAAAGTGCTCTTACTTTAAATACAAATATTTCTTTCAAGGAAGTAACAAGCATTAAAAAACTCCTCTGAAAAATTCTATTGCTTCATTACAAACCCAGAATAGAAGAGAACTACAGAATAGCAGGTATTCCTCCAAAAAAGCTATTAACCTAATCAGGGCTTTAGGAAAATAAACTTTTAGTGACATGCCACAATGCAATAAAGCAAGGCATATCGAGGATATGACATGTGGCTCGATTCCAAAATTCTACATAAAATCTGCATGGATAATATAGGTATGGCACACACTTCAATTTGGATATCAAATGCAGTAATAAGTATTAGGAAAAACATTTTAAAAATACAATTTTTAAAAATGGCAGTACAAATTGTAAAAGATGCTTCACAGAATCAACTACTGTT